AAAAATAAAAATATATATATAAATATATAAATATATATATATATATATAAATATATAAATATATTTATATATATATATATATATATATATATATATATATATATATATATATATATATATATATATATATATATATATATATATATATATATATATATATATATATATATATATATATATATATATATATATATATATATATATATATATATATATATATATATATATATATATATATATATATATATATATATATATATATATATACACACACACACATATATATTAGGTAATACACTAATTATAATATTAAAGCATATACACCGTCCATCCAGTCCACCATTTTCGTATATAAGTAAGGGTTCAAACCCCAAGCACTCACAACCCAAATTAATTAAAAACCAAAAAAATATAATTAAAATTTCACTAAAAATACGTATCTTTAACGTTTTTTTTGCTTTATATATTGCAAATTATCTAGCTGTTTATGGTGTTTTAATGGCTATGCCACAAACCGATACCGATGAGAAGTGGGTTACGCTAAACCCTAAACCACCTTCTTGAATAAGGCCAATTGTGAACATCTGTCAATGGATACTCACGAAATTTTGGATTTTTTGAAAGTCAGCCGACTCTCCCAAAGTTCTGGGTGAGCTGGTTATAGAGGAAAGAATCCCTCCGGAAGAAAATTGGTAGAGAGGATCGGATCAGTTAGAGCGATGCAAGAGCAAATACTCTCGAGCAGAGTTCGCCATTCTTCAAGAATCTTATGGATTTCATAACAGGTTATACATTATCAACATCTTGAGATTTTTAATAAAATTATGGAAAATCCTGACGAGATCCTTGGGCTTTAAACGCAGTCATCAATGACGGCTTAAACCCTTTATGCATGCACACAGGATCCGGGAGATCAGAGAGTGGCGAGCTCTCTACGAGTAGCCAATTATAAAGTTTTCCAAAAAATCAGATCAGAAAGATACAAAAGGAAAGATCTTTTCACAGATTCATTACAAGAGAGTTACAACACTATAAACAAGGAAATGTGCTAGGAAGCTTTTTCACGGCGCTGCCGCTTCGAAGAGATCTGGTCCTGACGGGTGGCGGCGGTGGCAGTGCTGTGACTTCCTCCGATCATATCCATCGTAAATGTAGTCGACATTAGGCTGCTCTTGCTGCTCATCATCACACTGCGATTCTTCCTTTTGATCATACGCCTCCTGTAGTGAAAAAGAGCGTTTAAAAATCGTGATCACCAGATTTAAAGGGATAAATCTTACAGCAGTTTCTGCATCATTGCCCGCAGCAGCGTCGGATTCAGCAACGGATCCAGCACTCGTCATGCCATTGACTTCACTCTTGGCACTTGGCACTGCTGAAACAAGACGAGGACTTAGCCAGAGGCAAAGAAAATTGGGAGTTTCAAGAGTAAACTCAAAACAAAAGACTTCTCGACATTATTTAGCCGAGCCAACAACAAAAAGTATAGAACGAAACGAAGCAACCATGATGGATCGAAAAAAAAAGAGGGAAAACGAGATAGAAACGCCATAAAAAAGGATCATACAAAAATGGCCTTAAGACTTGCCTGTGGAGCCCTTGAGAGGTCGAGTAGCCATAGCAGTGGCTGCAAACAGTAGCACCAAACCAAAGACGATGAAGCGAGACATCATAGATCGAGAGATGGATTGCTGGAAATACGCTATCTATACTGACTACATATACACTTCGCTCTAGCTAGAGTACTCTCGACAAGCAAAAGAGACGGAGAAGAAGCTCTACAATCGATCCTGTTCCAATGGCATGTATTTGTACTGGGAGTGGACGAATACGATACGGTCAACCTATTTCCACCACCGTCTCGGTTTTTGGAGGCGGCAACCAACGAGATCAAGATAAGAACGCAGGCGTAACGGCGAATGTGTTTAATGAATCACAGACTCACATATCAAATGTTAGACGAAAACAAAGTTGGCGGCACCAGGTTGTGGTTTTAACAAATACCCAAATGAGCAATCATTAGTTCTAGACCAAAGGTTTAACAGCTTTCGAGTTCGAATCTCTTGAGCAGCCAGATATTTTGTTTCCGGGTTTTAGGGTTTATCTGGAATTGGCGATGGCGATGGCGCTGGCGATGATCCCTGCTGCTGCTGCTACTACTCCCACGCGCTCCGCGGCGATTACAATGCCTCATTTCGTGAAAGGTGTGTTGAATCTCTCTTGCTCCAGGCCGCTGCTGCTAAGAATGGGAGGAGGAGGAGCTTTGGGAGGAATGAGGGCAGCATTGCTCGCTCGGCATTGCCCCAGGAGCAGCAGCTATGGCACCGGCGAGGTAATCGAAGCCGAGTTTTCTCCAGTGGTAGAAGAGGAGGCTCCTCCTGCAGTAGCGAATCCAGAAATCCCGCAAGGAGATCAAGCTCAGTACGAGATGGATGGAGGCCAAGCCCAGTACGAGATGGATGGAGGGAGCTACGACCAGGAGTATGACGAGGAGCAGTACTACGAAGGCTACGATCAATCCCAGCAGTACCAGCAATACGATCAGTCCCAGTATGATCCATCGCAGCAGCAGCAAAGCTACGATCAATCCCCCTACGCCGCCGCTGCGGTGGAGGAGAAGCCCAAGGAGCCGCCGCCACACTATGACAACATTGGAAAGGTGATGAAGTTCATCGCGCTGGGGCGAGCGATGCAATTCAAGCTGGACAGCCAGAAGGATTTCGAGAGGTTTTTGGACAAGTGTAGCGCGTATGGAGTGATGATCCCGGAGGCTCCCAGCGACATCAAGAGGAACTTGTGCGAGCTGGATCCAAAGGAGACGTGGATTGTGGTGGACAGCCGTGCGGTGATGAAGTTTGCCAAGAAGCTGGCGCTGGAGGAGGCGGAGAGGAACAAGGATGATTATCCTCCCGGGTTCGTGGAGAATATGCTTAACAGGGACAAGTATGGGAGGTACAAATCCGACGATGACTACTAGTCTCTCTTTTCGTTTCTCCAATTAGTTTCTTCTCTTGCTTTCTTCTTTTCTTGGCCATCCTCAAAAGAGATTAGGGGCTAATGACATATTAAGACTCCCAACTGGTTAGTTTCTTATAAAGAATTAATTGAAGTAGCGAATACCATTCTTGTTTTGTTTTCAATATATAAAACAGAACAAATCCAATTCAAATTTTTTGTTCCTAGTAAAAGATATAGAGAATTTAACTTAAAGACAGAATTTAAATAAGTAGTAATTAATTATATTAAATTAATCAAAAAGCTTGTTTGTAGCTATTACATTGTTAATATATTAAAGAGTTTTTGAGTAAATATTATTAAGAAGAAGTTCCCAACTTTCTTAGCTATATCTAATAAGAAACCATACAATTAAACATAGAAATAAAACTTACATTTATGCTATAATGATTAAATATGTAATAATAAATTTATATTATTTATTTTAAAAAATATTTTGATTTTTAATTATATAATCATAAACTTAAATCAAACACTATATTAAATGATCTGTCTACTTCCTTAAATCATACAAATACGTAATAAAATAAGGGCAAGGTAATAAAATTTAAATAACTAAGTGATTTATAATTATTATTAAACTATTTAGTTTAAATTTCTACTTAACTTTATATATGTAATGTTTTTGTTATGAATAATAATATAGTTTTGTGAATGGAAAAAAAATCCAAGAAATATGTATAATAATTAGCCCAATGTAAGCAACCAAAGGGAACAACTTGAGAGACGATTCATAGGGGTTCAAATATAGAGGGAAAGGGCCCATGAATAAAAGTGCACCCCCTTTTCCAATCGGTTAAAGATCTTGGGATATTTGGGGTTAAGCGTCCTTGGGTTTGAATAGTACTGGGCTGGGTGACCTCCCGGGAAGTCTAAATTCAGGACTTTACATTTGGTATCGGAGCGGTCTCGGGTCCGACTCTATTAGTTGGCTAAGGGAATCGCACCACATGTTGACCTCCCGGGAAGTCTAAATTCAGGACTTTACATTTGGTATCGGAGCGGTCTCGGGTCCGACTCTATTAGTTGGCTAAGGGAATCGCACCACATGTTGATTGACATTTGGCTGGTCCAATTTGCTCCTGTTGGGCTCGACCCGAGGGGTAGGGTGTCAAGAGAGCGAGGCTCTCAGCTTCCGTTCACGAGGGCGTGAACTTGCAGGGAAGCGTGGTGGATTGTAAGCAACCAAAGGGAACGACTTGAGAGACGATACATAGGGGTTCAAATATAGAGGGAAAGGGCCCATGAATAAGAGTGCACCCCCTTTTCCAATCGGTTAAAGGTCTTGGGATATTTGGGGTTAAGCGTCCTTGGGTTTGAATAGTACTGGGAAGTCCAAATTCAAGACCTTACACCCAAAAACCCTAATTTATATATAAGAGCTAGATTGAAAATTAATTCAATAGTTACCAAAATCTCATTATACTAATATTAATATACAATATTATAGCTATAACTTGGACCTCACATCATCCCCTACTCTTAAAATGATAGAAGACCATTAGGGTTCTCTTGTGGATGGGTTGGGATCTTGAGGAATATTAGAAAGAGGCATTAGTGGATCTGTAAGTAGTGTTAATTATTCCTAATCCCTTTATACAAAAATGTCAGTTGTTGTATGCATTTGTATTCCATAAGTGGACAATGATGGGAGTTATAATGCTATTATTGTCCCACTTGTATACGGCCTAAGTGTTTGGCAGACTTTGCTTGGACAAGTGGAAGAATGTTTATCAAATATTAATCCCACAACCTAACATTAGCAACCCACTAAAATTGCAAAGATAGTTGGTAATATTAAATCATGATCATATAAGAGTTATTTGCCATTACTTTGGTATGCATATATTACAAGGGTGTAGAGTTCTATTAATGCTTCACTATATAAACCATCTTAATCCGAATGTTGAAAGTTTACACACTTCATTATCATCCTTTTAAAGGTTCAAACAAGCCAATTGACTAAATCGTCTAACTATACATGCTAAGCACTTATAAAAGTGTGATGTATCCCCAACCAAAATGTCAAAATGTGAAATGCTTTAACCATAAATACAAGACTATTATCCAAAAGAATCTGCTCCGGATAGGATTGTTGAAACACCACTTAATTGAGAAAGAAGTATTTAACAGTAGTTACAGACACACTAGTAAAAGCACTGACTTTCACCCAATAAGCCAAGTAATCAAAAGCAATAATGACATACTCATTATTAACAGTCGATCATGGAAAAAGTCCCATTAAATCAAATGTCACAAACTTAAATAAATAGGAAATTACAATTAACTTCAATTGTCCTTTTGCAGCACAAAAGGGAATATTATGAGTTTAGCACTAAACACAATTATGCACATATTGGATAATATTATATCACATTTTTAGTTAATAAAAAAACTAATGCAACTTTTCAATCATACGATAATGTCCCATATACCCATCTAAAATGGGAGAATCATGGTAGATATGGAGAAAGTGTGGAATAAAAATTGAAGGCACCACCAGCTGTAAATGATTATCAGGATCTGTCCCTAAAAAATAAAGAAGACAGTCATCAAGGTGATATTGAGAATGTAAATATTGAAATAACAAGTCATCAACTAATGATACAAGATTCTTAAACCCATTATAAAGCCTTCGAATACATGACTCAATCTTTTGAGCCTTACAAACCTTTTCAAGAGAAGTTAAATTCTATTTTGTACTTTATGGATATTGAATGTCAAATATAACAGCCACTAACAGTATAGAATTCTCATCCAAAAAATCTAGAGATGCTAGAATAAAAAGTTTGTAAAAAAACATGACAAGAGAGCAAAAACGAAAAACATGCTTAAGAAAAAGCATTAGCATTAACCATAGATTATATATATAATACATGTATGTATGTATGTATGTATATGTATGTATGTACATATGTTTTCACCTTGATTTTTATTATTTATAGTTTATACAATAGTAATTATTTATTCATGTTTAAATAATAAATTTATTTTTAAGTAAGAAGGATAAAAGGAAATATAAAATATCTTCATAACAATTTCTCATTAAAAGTATTAAAACTTTTGTAATTCAAAAAGCTATAAGAGTTTAATGCTAAACAAGGCTTCGTAAAACTCAGAATATACTACTGTATTTAAAGCACACCGGATATTCTCAGGCGCTCCTCGAGATGCCAAATTTTAAACCGCGGGGATATTCCAATTTCTCGTGATCTCATGGCAATGGCGAATGGATCGGCAGCGCTGCTCGTGGAGGAGGGCGACACGCTGTGGAAGCTCGGGGAATCGCTAGGGATCGACTGGCGCCGTCTCCAGTCCTTCAATGGCCTCGATAGCGATCTCATTCTCGCCGGCGCCACGCTGCGAGTTCCTCCGCGCCCCTGGCTGCCGCGGCGCGTGTGGAGCCACGGCGCGCGCCTGGAGCCGCTGCTTGTCGAGGCCGGCGACACGGCCTGGGAGATCGCGCAGGGGCTAGGGCTTCTGGTGGAGGAGCTCCAGGAGCTCAATTTGCATCTGGCGACGCTGGATCTCTTGTTCCCTGGCGACATTCTCTTCGTTCCTCACTGCCCATCCCAGTGGATCCAGCGCCGCCAGGTATTTCGCGAGGTCAGGGCTAGAACCAAAGCGTTTGGAAGTGCCAATGCTACTTTTTTTGATGTGTTCCCTCCTCCCAGAGGTATGATGGTTTTTTCTTTTCCTTCCTGGTAGGGAGTTTCCATGCATTCTTTTGGCACTCATTGCTTTCCTTGCTCCTTTTTCTTTTCACCAGATCTAAGAATGCTCGTCCTATGAATTCCTTTCGCTTGTGGATCTATCCTTTTTTTTCCTGGGTCGGCTTTTCTCTGGATTTTCTGATAGCCTTATCTTTCATGCCTTCCATCCATTGGATTGCGTTTGATATCTCTTTATTTTCCTTTTCTTTTTATGAGATCTAGCAAATGCTCGATCTTTTCAGGCGATGATTTTTCTTTTTCTTGCGAATCCATCCTTTTCATTTTTCCTGGTCTCTGATAACCTTATCTTTCGTACTTCCATCCATTGCTTTCCAAGGTCTTTAGTGAAAAATCTCGTGTTTTTTTTCCTTGAAAGTGGCCACTTTCCGGAAAGCTTTATCTCACCGATGCATGGCAGATGTGGACGAGTACCGTCAAAGGCACAGGCTTCTCTTGGACGCGATGCGAGACGTAGAATCGAGTTCCATGGTTCCTGCGCCGATTGGAGATGGTGGTCGAAGCATTGGTCCCTTGCAAATCAGGTAAAATATCTCCTCTCCTTCGTTAGCTAGTCGATGTTAAATAGATATTATTTGACACTGATCTAGCAGGCAAGAGTGAGAATTGAAGCGGGTTTTGGTGGATTTCTAATGCAGCACAGATTACCACGAAGATGCTTGGTGGCAAAAAGATCCAAGCGGTGCCAAGTACGAGCTGTGCGACGAGGTGGAGTACGCTGAGCGAACTGCTGTAAACTACTGGCTTAGATACTGCCCGTGGTCACTCGAGTTCGACGACTTGGAAACTCTAGCTCGCACTCACAATGGTGGCCCGCAGTGGTGGTTTCACATGGCAACGATACGATACTGGTATGTCTATTCACTCCTTTCTCGTTTCGATCATTCTCAGTTTTGTGCGTGTCTTTACAGGCGCAAAGTTGCTCGAAGCTTGAAAAGCAGAGGTTTTAAGAAGAGGATTCCCGAGCTGCTGGAGGAAAGGCAAGCTCCACTGCTGTTAAGTATGCATTTTCCGTTTCCTCCAGACACGAGCTCTTGTGTAACCGGCGGCGGCAGGAGCAGCAGTGACTATACTCCAGCGGTTGCAGTCATCAAGAACGTCATCTCTGCCGCCTCTCCGGGGAGGATGAAGACGAGCAGTCCCTGATTGAGTGGCTACAGCTTCCAAAGTTTTGCTGGATCCAGTGCACAGCTCCTGCCAGTTCGAGTTCAGCAGAGCAGCGATCTACATGGCCTGTAAGCGGCAGGATTTCTTTCTCCTTTCTGGGAATCCGTTACCGAATCCCTTGCAGGCAACAGACTGAACAGACCGCGTGGACGTGATGATGGAAGGAAAGAAGAAGCCGATGGAAGAAAGACTACTGAGAGACATTAATGGCAAAGAAGTGGGAATATCTGAGCCAGGACAACACTTGGCTGGATCATGACACAGGTGGGAGTTTCTCATTCAGCTGCAAAGTCAATGAATGCTGGAGCAAAAGGTGAGAGAAATCTTTCTTTGATCTTTTTTACTTGTTTTTGTTAACAAGCAAGAACAAGTGAGACACTTTCTGTGAGACACAAAGGAAGTTTCCCTTCTTATAAATTCTATTTTGGCCAAAGCTTTAATTGCTTGGTGTTGGTGGATTTTGTCTTTGGGTCATGGAAGGCAATCAATCAGTGCATGGCAGTGAAGGAGGTCAAAGCTATGCACGTCTTTTAAAAACATTTTAAAAAGAGAAGAAAAAAAGTTTAATGAGATTCCTTTCTTCTTCCTTTTCCTGGTGTCTTTTTGCACTTGTGTTCTCTTCCTTTTTATGCAGATCAGTGCTGCATGACAAGGTAGATTTTGGAAAAAATGCAAAAGGAACATAAAAATAGGATATGCTTCCCATGTTAGCTGGACATGAATTGTAATCCATGCAACCCTGCCACCCTCAATTTGGTGTGTGCCTTGGTGTACTATAAAAAGGGCAGCTATTTTGTAGGGTGCTAGACAAAGCAAGGCAAAGGCTTTGTGTCCCCTATGCTAGAAAGAAAAATATCTTAAGAGTGGAAAAGGAGAGAGATAGACATGTAAAAAAAGGCCAGACTTAACTGCATTTGTGATCTCACATCAATTGCCATCACCAGAGAGAGTTTTCCTCTTGTGAAGCAATCAATGTTTTGTTGGCTTGTTGTGGCATCCTGATAGTGGCTGCTCCAAGGCACTCTCTCCTTCAGGAACTTTGATAAGAACAATAAGGCCTGCCATAGCCAAAGCTTGCTGCTAGCCATCACTTTCTCAGAAAAGGTAGTGAAGTGACCAAGCGATGAAGGTGCTGTTGCTGCAGGTGCCCTGAAGCTCCAGTTTTGAGGCTGTTTTGGTGTATTTCTCTTCCAAATCTGTTTACTCGCTGGGAAATCTCTGCCCCCCACGGTGGGTTTCTCTGGCCTGCGTTTCTTCTTTTACTTTTCTGCTTTGCTCCCACAGCTGTTGCATCTGTTGCAAGAAAGGGAGCGAAAGAAAACTGCAGCAGCAAGCGAGCGAGCGAGCGAGCGAGCGATCGATCAGTTTCTGGCAAGAACAGAGAGAGAGAGAGGCTGTGAGAAAAGAGAAATGCTAGCAGTGGAGAGACTCGGCTTACTTGGTTCCAGCAATTAGTTTCTCCTGTGTGAACGAAGCCAGAGGAGGCACCACCATGCGCTGCTCGCTCCTCCTCCTCTTCCTTTCCCTGCTCTCCCTTTCGGGTCTCGGATCGTCGCAGCTCTCGGTGGATTTCTACAACAGGACCTGCCCCGATGTAGACAAGCTCGTTCACAGCGCGGTCAGCGCGATGGCCAATCAGTCCAACGTAGTCACGCCGTCAACACTCCGGCTGCTTGCTCACGATTGCTTCGTAGAGGTGAGTCGAGTCCCCCGAGCTCTCGAAAACTCTGGACGTTTACTCTACTTCTTCCTTGGTTCTTCTTCCTCAGGGGTGTGACGCATCAATTCTCATAACTTCGACCACCAACAACACCGCCGAGAGGGACGCGACCGAGAACAACATCCCGCAGCAAGCCTTCGACACCATAATTCAGGCCAAGAAAGCCGTGGAGGCTGCCTGCCCGGGCGTGGTCTCCTGTGCCGACATAGTCGTCATGGCTGCGCGAGACGCCGTAGTACTGGTAACTCCCACCACCTTGCTATGACTCCCTGCTTTTGTTCTTAGGATTCCCTGTTCCATAGCCTGTGGACTTGGTCGTAGTTGCCATAAACTTGCTGATTTGTTACTGAATTCCGACCATTCTCTGTAAGTTGCTGGCTCAGATTTACCGCTGCTGATTTTCTGCATCGTGATTCTCCGCTTTCTTACTCCTCTAACTCCGTCCTGTTCAAGGCTGGAGGCCCGCACTGGGAAGTCACCAAAGGCCGAAGGGATGGACTGATATCCCAAGCTTCCAGAGTTCCTGGCAGATTACCTGGAGCAGACTTCAACGTTAGCGAGCTAATAGAAAACTTTGCTGCTGTCAACCTCACCGCTGACGACATGGTGATCCTCTCAGGTGCAAATCCTTCGAATAGATCGAGCCATCCGTTTGACAGACAGTGACTTTGTTTCTTCGCAGGAGCGCATACTCTTGGATTTTCTCACTGCAACCAGTTCCGGAGCAGGCTTTACAGTTTTGATGGAGTAAACGGCAGCAGCGACCCGAGCGTGAACGCGTCTTACATTGGATCGCTCAAAGTGAGCTGTCCACCCGGCGAAACTGGACCTGGAAAATTCACCCCGTTCGATGTCAGCTCCCCCTTCGTCTTTGACAACTCTTACTACAAGAACTTGCAGATTGGAAGAGGCCTCCTGTTTGCGGACCAAGTGCTGTTCACCGATAACACCACCAGGCCGCTGGTGAACGAGATGGCTGATTCCCAGGACGACTTCTTCGCGGCGTTTGTACAGGCGATGACCAAGATGAGCAACATAAGCGTCAAGACTGGAAGCGACGGGGAAATAAGGCAGAGCTGCAGCAGCTTCAACGCCCCACCGAATTCAACCACACCAACTTGAGCGAAGTCCAAAAACAAATAAGGTGGAGGAAGAGCACCTACCATGAATTTGTAAATGAATTTTTGTTCGAATAGAATAAGCATGGCAATTTACCTCCAGATCGAAGTCTCACTTTTCATCTCCAGGACAAGTTTCTATGCATGACACAGAAGCTGTCAGTGATGTTAAAACGTAAATTACTAGCCTGTCTCGCTGATCCCAGAAATAACTCATCGATAGACCAAAAAAAATTTCCAAGTGTTTAGTACATACAATGGTTGTTAAAAATACAAACACGGATCAGTATGTATCAAACAAACTCTCACTCTGGACTCCGGCGTTGGTCGGAAATGTTTATATAATCCATATTCAAGAGCTTTCTCGCAGCTACCAAGTGAATTCCTTTCAGCCTTGCTCGCTCCAGCATGCACTTCCTGTACGAGAAGTCACAAACGGACTCGTCTAGTCTGTTGATCATGAAGCACCGGCTTCGATTATAATCCGGGTGATAGTTTACCTGCCAAGAGTCCTCAGGCTAGCATTCAGAAAGACAAAAAGGAGGATTTTTCATACCATTATGCTTGCCACGCCACAACCGATCTTCTCGGCCGCTCTTGGATGAAACCGTAAGACTTCTTCTTGGATTAGCTTGGCGTCATATTCATCGAGCGTGTGCCCGACACGATATCTGATAAACCGCGGCGAAAGATAAGAGTAAGAGGAGAAAGAGGAGAAAGAAAGAACGAAGAACTTACTTGAAATGTAAGATACACTGGACAGTGCTGACGAGATACGAGAAAGAATCCGCGTCTTCGTTGTATTCCTCCTCTCCAAATTCTCCATTACCAGACCACTGCTGGCTATGAATGACCATCAGCAAGAGAAAACTTTGAAACGATCTACCAGACTTACAGACAATGGAGTGGAAGCTTGAGCGATGGCAGCTCGAAACGTCATATTTCCCTGCCTGCCGCAGCTACTGTCACGAATCTCGCAAGAAATCGATAGGGTTTTACCTCAGCGAGCACCGATTCGCCGCATTCGCGGGATTCTTCCCCCCGCCTGCCCCTCCATTCCACGACACCAGCGCATTCGATCGGCAGAGCTGCTGCTGCTGGGGCGCTTGCTGCGTCAAATTCGCGGCAGTAGCAACGCTCAAGGAGCACATCGCCATTTAAAGAACCCTAAAAAACTTAACGAATAGATCATCCGTACTATATAAATCCTCCGTACAATTGATCAATGTTTATAATACATGGTTTTATGTACTTGTCACGGGTACATCGTCGTCACTGCTGTGGATCTTCGTCGCATTTCTTCTCGCTGCTCGGATTTGTGGCTGGATCACATCGCTTTGCTCAGTCTAGCTGCTCGCTGGATGATCTTCGTGACTTTCTCCCGGAACCATCCCATCTGGATCACTTCTTCCCGTCTCCTCAGTGCTGGGATTGTTTGCCGGATCGTTGCCAGTGCTAGCTGGAAGTATCTCCTCGCTGCTAGGATTTCCTGCTGGGTGGTCATCGCGTATCTCCTCCTTGCTGGGAACGTTTGCTGGATCATCATCGCGTCTCTCCTCACTGCTGGGAACACTTGTTGGATCATCATCGCGTCTCTCCTCACTGCTGGGAACACTTGCTGGATCATTCGTCACTGCTTGCTGGTTGGTGTTATCATTCACCACTGCTTGCTGGGTGGTATCATTTGTCACTGCTTGCTGGGTGGTGTTATCGCCATTCGAGCCTTCAACAGTTGCTTCGTTGATGAATGCAGCTGAAGGATCCTGTTCTGACTCTGGCTTCGTAGCCCCGTCGATAGCGACCGAATCCAACGCCGGCGGTTCCTCTTTACCTTCTTTCGGGAAGAATATCTTGTCCGTGATGTCCCGGATGGTGGTCCGAAGTTTGGATGCTTCGGCTAGTGAGAACCATGCATGCTGCAAAACAAAAGGAGCTCACGGTAAGAACTCGTGTTTCACCAAAAACTTACTACCATGTCCTTGACCATGGAGTCGCTGAAACTGGCTGGAGCCTTTGACAAAAACTGCTGAATGTAATGAAGCATGAAAAGGCCACAGTCGTACTCGTTTTGCTGCTTTGGCACCTGCAGAAGGGAAAGAAGAACGACAGACTCTTTAAAAGTTGCAAGAGACTCGTGCATACCTTTACTTTCCTTTCGTGAACATTCTTAAAGTCCTTGTTCTCACCACCATGAGAAATCCATTCGGCCGCCAAGTACCTGTCAAATAACCAGGCAATGGCAAACCAAAACCCGAGAATTCACGTACCGGCGAACAACCTCATAAATAGGACGACTAACGTGCCCAGTTTGCATAGAATCAAGGTGAAGTATATGGCATCCAGGCTTCGGGCCTGAAAAACAAACCACAACAAGGCTCCAATGCATCCTGCAAAAGTGTCAAGAGGAAACCACAGAGCGAAAAAATCGAACTCACTGCTGATGGACAGGCATCAAAACGTAGGCTTTGTCATAGATGTCAACGCCCTTCGTCCATTTCCGTAGCTTGCCAACGCTTTCAACGTAGTCCTACAAAGATGATCTCTTACATGAAAAAGGATAATTAGCGTCACCTCGTCGCAAACTGCTTGAGCGAGCCGTTTGAAGAAAAAGCTGTTAAAAACGTGAAACCTCTCCAGTTCTGTAGATTGAGATACAAGAATGTACCTGTGACAAATAAACTTGGGCCTTAGCCGTAAGAACTTTGCGAAACGTACTTGATATACAAATCAATAATCGTGTCGTTAACATACTCGCGTTCCGCTAGACATTGCAAATGGTGTTCTTCGACTTCTACTGCTTCCGGATCATCACTAAAGATTGGAGAAGTCAGAAGGTTAAGTGGCTATATAACAAATACGTACCGAGAGGGATATGCAAATTTCACTCCACATCTGATCTTAAAAGGGTGGAAAACGTGACTAGCAAAGCTTCACGACATTACCTCTTCAATTGCTGTTCGCTATCTTGTAGATGGTCTTCATCGTCAACTAAAAAAACTTCCTGGAATTGGCAGCTGTTACATACCACAAGAATGTAAATGGCTCACCTCATTGGAACCTTCAGGCGACGGCTCTTCTAGTTTTCCAGGCTGCAAATAAAACATTTAGTTGAAAGCCAACGAACGCTTGACTATACCGCAGAGAATCCAAAGTAACTCCTAACGAGGTCCTTTTTCTTTTTTCTGCAACACAATGGCATCAGCTTGCTTGGCACCAAAACATCACTCCGACTACTTTTTGGTTGAGGGTATCAGACGCTTGAGGGATTTCTGGCGCTTAGTTGTTTTCGACTGCTAGAACACAAGCGAAAAAAAGAAAAAATCAAGGATCACCCAGGAAAGAAAAAGACCGAGTCACCTTGGATTTTCCGGCAGAACGGGCTGTAGCCGGCGCGTCCTGTAAGCAGCACATCAGCAAAGAAAGAAAAAAAAATTCATGAGACCGACCTTCAAGATCTCAGTGCTCTCAACAATCTCGTCCATAGTCCTGCGTAAACAACAATAAGTTTTTGTTCAAGTGCTCGCGAGATCTAGCTACATACCGGCTTTTGCCAGAATTTTCATCGTTTCCACCGTTTGAGACCGCCGGCTCTTCGTCCTCCTCCTGCAAAACATCGAAATCGATCACGCCAACAATCTACTCCATTCCCACACGAAGAAATCAAAGGACCTGGCAAGTGTCTAAAAACCGAGAATGGAGAAATCTAAAGAACTGTCCTCTAGACAACAAGATCTCAAACAGAGGCGTACCTGGCGTGGACGCTTCCTGCGACGAAAAACCTGCGTCGTGCGCTGCGTAGCGTCCAGCTTGACGTCGTCCAAGTGAGAGAGATCGGCACATTGGCGTTGCTCTTCCTTGAAAGTCTTCATGGAATTTGCCAGCGCTATTCTCATTTGCTCCTCCTCTGGCAGCCTCTGCTGCATTAGCCGCGCAGATTGCCTCTTGGGCGCCATTTCCCTCGCCCTACCTCCTCACAAACCCTAAAACTGGGAAAATACTTCTCTCAAGTAACTCAATTGATAGGAGGAAGAATTGTAATTAGCTGCCGCGGCTAGGAATTACATTTCTCCCTCAGTTTTTTGTAACTTGCAAAGGTGGTGGTTTCCTGATTAAGGGTAATAAAATATTTTTTCCATACATTTTTTATTTTTATAAAATCATCGTTAATAAGAATCTTATGTAATTAATAAAGTGGTAGCTTTATGTAAAAGTGATTTTTGGTTTGCTTGGGATGGTAGTGAATATACCTAAAATATGCTTAAATATTCTAGAACATTTTATCAATCTAATTATTCACTTAGATTAATCTCGTATTTATAATTTATAAACATGTTTATAATTTATAAGCTTTCTTAAACCCTTTAAAGTATATTCTTTTTTATTCTATCATCTAATGATTGATATGAAATAAGATTAATCTTGTGTTTATAAATTACAAACATACTTATAATTATAAACTTTATTTAAACAATTGGATTAATAAGTAAAATAACACTAATATTAAGCAAACCAAGCATTACTTTACTTTACAATAATTGCATCTATCATTCTTGGGATGATGCCTGGTATTTGTATGTGTTTCCCACATATCTCCAAGGGACAACATTATAATGGTATAATGGTTTAAATAGCTACTCATTTGGATTAGAGCCTTCTTTTAAACATTTTTAACCATATATTTAGATATGTTGATGGTTGTGATGATGCTTTTTAGCAATTACATTATTTCGTGCACCTCGTGGGACCTTATCATCTTACATCCTTGCGTGCACCTCGTGGGACCTCCGAGTTGTGTAATTTGGTATAAGCCTCTTGCTTTGTGTAGAATCAAATATGTTTGAGCAAATCAATTTAAGAATGTTGTGGCTAATGTTTCGTCAAGATCTTGAGGGACTTATGCATACACTTGTTCTAGCCATTTTTAACAATGCACTTTGATTTACACAATAATATGAGATATTACATCTCCAATGCATATACTTTAATTCCACTTTATGTGGGAGATGATCTTGTTTATAGAGTTTAATATTGCTGCTGCCAATATTCTATATTGGTGTTGTTAGTATTTTCCGAATTGGCATCCTCTATTTCTTGGGTGAAAGCCTTAGCATTAACAATGTCTTGTTAGAACTATTATGGTGGAAAATTTTAACATAGTGATTTTTTTGG